CCTATTTTTTTAGGTCATTTGAGCTCAATCAATCTTGTTGATTGAGTGATGGATGACTTGTACCTCAGTTTTCACAGCTCTCTCTCTTCTCTGCTTGATCCCCAAAATGCTGATTTAGAAATCTAGAGGAGAAAAACCCAGATCTGTCTCTTAATCTCAACCCAGGTTGGTCAAAGGATATATTAGTAAGGCCAGGACCCCCATCCATTTCTACACTATAGTCATCAAAATTACTACAGCTTAAAGTAATGGTTCAGGCCCTGGGGAGTCAGCACAGCTAAACGTACAAGGGCACATGTATGAGTGTGGGGACGGTGCTAGTGATTGGCTGTATGTGTTTAGGGGAGTGGTTATGGGTTTGTAGTGGGGCAGGGATCATCTTACCTCAGTGCCTTTTGGGATTCTGGCCAGCAAACAACTTCCCTGCCTCTGCGCTCCTGTTTGTCCTGGGCCTGGTGACTTTCCTGCTTGAGGGATGGATATTGAAGGCATCCTGTCTGCCCTCAGAGCTGCAGCTGCCCTGGATGGCGGTAGGCACTTGAGGGAGCAATATGCTCACCTCCAACCTGTGGCCGCCGGTGTGGGTTCACCCCCCCACGGTCGGGCCTCTCCAGGGGCCTCCAACAGCCCCCGCCCGCCTGCTCGTCTGAGCCCTGATCCTTCACCTCGGGCCCGGTATAGGAGCCGGAGCCCAGGCCCGAGGCACCACCAGGCCCGCGTGGCAGCTCCAGCTGCTCCATCTGCCACGCGGCCTGCATCTACTGCCGCCCCCCGCGCACCCCCCGGCCGTGGACAGCGGGCCAGGTGTGCCAGAAGAGCTGCAGAGCATCCTGGGTGGTCTGGGAGGCCTTCCCAGCCCCCACGTGGTCGGCGCACCGACGGATCCAGAGCCGGGCCGGTGGTGGTGAGTGGGCCCCTCAGGGCCACGTGGGGCACGGCTGTGCTGTTGCTGGGGGGTGGAGGGGGGTCCTTCCCGGGCTCTGTGGGCTCCTCTGGGGATGAGGGTCGGCCGGGGGGGTCCCCCTCTCCTCCCCCGGGTTCTGTCGGCAGTTCCCCCCTCCCTCCTCCCCCCCCTGTGATTCCATCCCTTTCCTCTCCCTCTGGTGCCCCCTCTCCCTCTATGCTTGCCTCCTCCTCCCCTGTTACTGCTGGGCTGGGCCCCCTTCCACTCTCTGCTCCCCCTCCTGGCTCTCTCTCTGTCTCCCTTCCTCCTCCCCCCCTCCCTTCTGTCTCTATTTCTGGTCCCTATGTCCCCCCTGCACCCCATGGGTACTCACCTCGGCTGCCCTCCTCTGCGGGGTGTGAGCTTACCTCCTCTCCGCTGCTCTTCTCACAGGATCTGGCTGCTGTGGCTGCAGTTCCTGGGACCGGCCAGCAGATGGCGCCTGGTACTGCTGCAAGGCTGAGCAGTGCTGAAAATGAAGTTAACTCTCTGCTGCCTGGATCATCTTCATTTCTTTTGCCGCGGGAGGTTCCTCGGGCATCGGCTGGTGAGTTTACTAATTTTTCTTCTTCTCAATCTGGGGGTTCCTCGCTGGGGGGGTTTCTGGCAGGGCTTTGGGGTTTTCTTGATCACTGGGAGCAGGGTGCGCAAGCAGGTAGGGTCCCCCTATTAGATGGTCAGCTTCGGTCAGTGTGGTCCTCAGCGCTGCAGCCACAGGGGGTTCTAGCGGTTCCTGGGGTCACAGGGTCCCCCTCTTCCGGGTTGGGTGGCCAAACTGGCACCCCTGCTATGGCATCGGGTGCCTCGGCACCGGCGGTGGCTGGGGGGTCCCTGGCATCGGGTGACCCCCCCGGGTGTTGCGGACGTTGCGCGTGGTCCACCTATATGTGTTGGTCAGGGCCCTTGGGTGTGCACTTGAAACAGGAGGTTCGGGACAAAATTTGGAGGGGTGAATTGGTTGAGATTTTCTCCCTCCTTCCTATGGAGGAGGCTCCTCCTTTACTGGAGAAGGACGGGAAAGACTCCGACAAAGACAGGGAGAAGTACCGGTACCGGAAGATTCCTAAGACTTTCGGAAATTGGATTCGCGCATTTGCGATCCTGGCCAGTGTGATTGGGGAAAGGGCTCCGCAGAAGTGCTCCGCATTGTTCTGCTACCAGGATACCGTTTGGAACACTTGTCGTACCTATGGTGGTCTGGGGTGGTGGAAATATGACGAGCAATTCCGTCAACGGTTAGGGCCCCTCCATTTCATGGGATCAGATGGACATTGGCCTCTGGCTCTCCATTATGACCCGCCCAGCCCCCCAGCAGGGTGGGTTCTTGTCTTTTCTCGGGGGGGCCTCCTCCTCATCGGCCGCGCATCAGAGGCCAGGCTGTTGTTGGAAATTCAACGCCAGTCACTGCAAATGGGGGACATCTTGCCGATTCAAGCATGAATGTTCCACCTGTGGGGGAACCCATCCCGTCTCCCGCTGCTTCAAGCGGGGCAAAGTGGGTGAGAAAGGGGAGTTGGGGTCAAAGGGCGACGACGCCGGTGGTCATAAGCGCGATGCGCCCTTGGCTCGCCAGTTATAGGAATCGTCGGGCTGCCGACATCCTACTAAATGGTTTTGAGCATGGGTTTTGGATTCCGTTCACTTGTCGTCCCCCTTCCCCTCTGGTACGGAACCTTCGGTCGGTCCGGGAATTCCCATGGGTGGTTCGGGAAAAACTGAGTAAGGAGGTGTCATTGGGTCGGATGGCTGGTCCCTTTAGGGACCCCCCGCTCCCGGAATTGCGGGTCTCCCCCCTGGGTGTGGTGCCCAAAAAGGAGCAAGGGAAATACCGTCTGATTCACCATTTATCGTACCCGAGGGGGGGTTCGGTGAATGATGACATCTCTTCGGAACTCTGCCGAGTGTCTTATGCGTCCTTTGACGCTGCGGTGCCATGGTCAGGGCCGCGGGCCCTGGGGCCTTGTTGGCCAAGGCTGATGTGGAATCGGCCTTCCGTCTGCTGCCGGTGCACCCGGAATGTCACCATCTTCTGGGCTGTGTTTTTGAAGACCGGTATTACGTGGATATGTGTCTCCCTATGGGTTGTTCCTTATCCTGCTTTTACTTTGAATGCTTCAGTACATTCTTGGACTGGGTGGTGAGGAAGGAGGCTGGGATAGACTCCTTGCTACACTACCTCGATGATTTCCTTTGTGTGGGTCCCGCCAATTCGCCAGCCTGTGCAATGCTGCTGCGGGTTCTGAGCGAGGTGTTCCATCGGTTTGGGGTCCCATTGGCTCACGACAAGATGGTGGGCCCGGTCACTTGTCTCAGTTTTCTGGGCATTGAGATTGACTCTCTGGCGGGGGAATGCCGCTTACCTTTGGATAAGATTCAAGGCTTGCGGAGCGAGGTGGCCGTGGCCATGGGGCGGCGCAAGATTCAGCTGCGCTGCCTGCAGTCGCTCCGGGGGAAGCTGAATTTTGCATGTCGGATCATGCCCATGGGGCGGGTCTTTAACTGGCGTCTGGCTGTGGCGACGGCCGGGGTCTCCGGGCCTCGCCATTTCATTCGGCTTACACGGCCGCTGCGGGACGATTTGGCAGTTTGGGACTCCTTCTTGGCTACATACAATGGCCGGTCCTACTGGCAAAAGCCGGAGGTTTCTAATGCCGACCTCCACCTATTTACAGATGCGGCTGGCTCGGTGGGATTTGGGGCCATTCTGGGCTCTAGTTGGTGTGCGGCCGTGTGGCCGGACAGTTGGCATGTCTCTGGGCTCACGAAAAATCTGGCCTTTCTGGAGCTTTTCCCCATTTTGGTGGCAGTGGAGGTCTGGGGGTCACGTTTGCAGGATCAAAGGGTAGTGTTTCATTGCGACAACTTGGGGGTTGTTCAGGCCATTAATCGGCTGACAGCCTCCTCCCCTCCAGTGGTTCACTTGCTTAGGCGGTTGGTTCTCCGATGTTTGTGTCTCAATGTGTATTGTAGGGCAGAGCATATACCGGGAGTTCACAATGTGATGGCGGATGCTCTCTCTCGTTCACAGTGGTCGGAGTTTCGGGCTGTCGCCCCGCAGGCCGAACCGGTGGGAACGCCTTGCCTGGCGGACATCTGGTCGCTTGGTCAGGCAGAGTGATGGAATGGGTCCGTGGATCGGTTTCCAAGGCCACCTGGATTCGCTACAGTAAAGTGTGGGGTGAATGGGAGCAATGGGAGTTGGATTTGGGTGTTTTTTGTTCCCCGACCGAGCGTCTCGGGGGGCTACTGCAGCTCTTAGAACGCTGGGAATCTGAGGGTAAGTCTCCCTCTGCAATCTCCGCGCGTTTCTCCGGTCTTAGCTTTCTATTTAAGCTGCGCGGGTGGGAAGATTCGACTAAAGCATTTGTTGTGGGTCAGGCACTTAAGGGACTGCGACGCCGAGCTGTGTCGGTTGACGCACGGAGACCGGTTTCTGCGGTGCTTTTGTCACGACTCTGTGGGGTGCTCCCGCAGATCTGTTACTCGGTGTTTGAGGCATGGCTGTTTAAGTTGGCTTATTCGCTGGCATTTTTTGGGGCCATGCGTATTGGGGAACTGGTGAACCCTAGTAAGCGCAGCTGCGGGGGGGTGTTGTTTGCCGACGTTCAGTGCGAGCCGGGGCTGATTTCATTTCTGATACGACGGTCAAAAACTGATGTCCTTGGAAGGGGTAAATGGGTGCGGTTGGGTGCTGTCCCTGGTTCAGATATTTGCCCAGTTTCTTCCTTTCAGGAATTCTGCGAGCTGCGCCCGGTTTCTTCAGGCCCCCTTTTGGTTCATGAGGATGGGAGTTTTCTGTCCCATTTTCAATTTATTCGAGTTTTTCGTTCTGGATTGGAGGTATTGGGGGTTGACAGTAAGGAGTTTGGGGGGCACTCATTTAGGATTGGCGCTGCCACTGAAGCTTTTAGGCTGGGAATGTTGGCGCAAGCGGTTCAGAGGATTGGGAGGTGGGCATCTGGGCGTTTTGTCTCATATGTTCGTCCTTCCCGCATCCTAAATTGATGTTTTCTCCTTAGGTGGGAGTCCCCCCAGGGTCTGGGTGATCGGACACTCGTATGTCTTCTGGGCCAGACGGCGGGCGGCTGTCCGTCCGGGAGGTGAGCTGCTTGGTTTCACGCCTTCTGAAGCGGAGGTTCGCTGGTTTGGGAATAGAGGTATGAAGTGGGTCCGGCTCCTCCCTGAGCTAATTCAGCTTGCCCGGCTTTTGGGTCCACCTAGTGTCCTTGTAATTCACCTGGGGGGTAATGATCTCGGGACTATGCCTATTTGGGGGTTGGGGAACGCAATTAAGAGGGATTTAGCGCGGGTATTGTTTCTGTTCCCGGACGTTCGACTGGTCTGGTCTGAGGTAATTTCACGAAATTACTGGCAGCGGGCCCATAATCAACGGGCAATGGACCGTTGTCGGGTTAAATTGAACCGGAGGGTCTCCAAGTTCATGTTGGGGGTAAATGGGATTCCGGTGCGCCATAGGGTGTTTGAGCGGGAGGCAGCTAATTTGTTCAGGAGTGATGGTGTGCACCTCACAGAGGTCGGGCTCGACCTCTTTAATCTTGCAATCCAGGAGGCGGTGGAACAGGCCTTGGTTGGTTTTGGTGGGGCTCCCCGCTGATTTTAGGCTTAAAACAGCGGGGTTTGTGGCGGGAAGCGTGTCCTTGCCAACAGGGTTGGGGAGCAGATGGAATGTCAGGAGATGGACAAGGTGGGTCTCAACCTCCCCTGCTCTGTAAGGTAAACTTTCAAGTTACCGAATTGGACGTGCCCACCGAGCTAAGAGCCGGCTGGTGGTTAGAGCATTTAAGATGATAGGAATTTGGTTTGGACGAGGGGGGAGGCGAGACACCAGTGGGTAAAGTTTTTGGTGCATAGGTACCTGGTTAAGATCGTTGGCAAGGACGGTTATTTAAGTTGAAGGCTGTAGGGCTATAAGTGTTAATTTATTGTTAATTATGGTATGTATATATATTTATGTGTTTATCTATATTGGAATTAAAGGAAAAGAATGAAGTTCGGATGTGTCCTACAGTTGTAAGTTTTAATAAATGCTGTGGCCTGTTTCATCCAATATGCATTGTCTGTCATTATTGGGGGGATAAGTGGGTAGTCTTTCTTTTAGTCGAACCACATTCCCCGCTACGTACATACATGGTACAGGCTCAGCAAAGAAAATACTGCCTTTTCAGAGAAAAGGCAGGGTTTATATTGCTGCTGCTAACACCTCTAGGAAGGACTGGATTAACATAGGGGCTGATGGAGCTGAAGCTCCAAGCCATGCTCATGGAATTAATAAAAATACTACCCTTTACATTCATATACAAAAAAAACAAAAAACTACCTTCACATGCTCTTGCTTTGTGCCGAGGGAATTAAGTATCAAAACTTAAAAAGATGTATGGGAACAAAGCTTGTGTGGACTGGCTGACAATGAAATTAGTTCAGGTAAAGCTGACTTGCTCTTGCTACTTCAATCTCTCTACCACTGTGGCATGTCCCCTTTCTTCTACACTCACTACATCCACCTTTTCTTTGTATCAAGCTGCATACCAGGTTCTTCTGCCTACTTGTAAGAAGGTAAGGAGAAGAGTGGACAACTGAGTGCTAGAGGACAGTCCCCAGAAAGTGAAGAGTAGGTGCTCTATGCTAGCATTAGAATTTGTGCAAGCTCAGGTTCCTGTCTACATAGTGGGCTATTAGTTGGCCAGCGTCCATGATTGGCGGGCAGTCTGACATGCATTCAACCCAGGCTGACCTTTCAAATCTTCAGGCAGACCCACCCCTTTCTGGGCATGTCGGCTACTTTGGGTGATGCTGGATACATGACTCGCGTCAGTGGCCCACCCTTTTACCCCACCACCAATGTCCTACTTCACTGGATGCTGCTGTTAAGGGGAACAGATTTACTTGAGAGATGAAAGTGAGAGATTAGCACAGTGTTTTCTTGTAGCTCCAATCTGTTTCCCTCAAGCTACACCTCCACCAGATACAAGACTCTTTGAAGGTATGACTATTTTAGCATTTTCTGTTGATAGGATTCTGTAATTACAACAAGATAAAACAAGGAACTGATTTAGGAAATAAGAAACGAAAAAAATCAATCATAAAATGTTATACAATAGTACATCAAAGGGCTGCATCACATTCAAATAGAGCGATTTAGGAATCTATATAAACAATTAATAACAATATGTGAGCGCTCCAAAAAATAAAATGATAATGGTCTTGAACTGAACTCCAGCAGGAAAAAGATGAATAATGTGTATATATATAAAGAAACAGTTTCACCACTCTAAGGATTGTAGCAGTGTATCAATCTACGTATCACCAACTATTTAAGGGGGATGTATTGAATGCTTGACACCCTTATATCTAAATAAACCATCAATATTAAGAATACGAATAATTCAAAATTGTAACATAAAAGCTTTTTATTATCTCAGTGAAAATAACCAAAACAGGCAATTTCACTATTCAATAAAATCAACATACACTGTCATATAGTGACCTAATGACACTTAGATACATCTCTGTTATTAAAGGATTCTGTAATTATACCCATCATAATTGTTAGCCTGAATGGGCTAATAATCTAACTTTGCCTCTATGTGCTGTCACTCAGATGGCCACTAGAGGTGCTTTCTATTTCAGTGCTGCACAGTGTGTGCAGCACCTGTGTTCAACATCTCCACGCTCTGCATGGAGATGCTGAATGTTCATAAACACTAAAGCATTAGGAACACAAATATTAAGAACATTAGGAACACAAACCTGTATTCCTAACACTTTAGTGTCCTTTCCTTTCCCATCAGTGCTTTCCTATGGGGAGGGCTTCTGAGCCACGTGACTGAGTTTTACTTAGTCAGTGGCTATCAGGAAGATAAGCCACTAGAATGGACTAAACCCTGCAATGTAAGCATTCCTGTTTCTAAAAAAAACTTTTCTGTTTTACATTGTAAGGTTAAAAAGGCAGGACCACTGCACCCAGGTCCTTTGGGAACACATACACATATGGGTTGAGCATTCTTCTCCCTGTCTGGGATCCTGTCTCTGTGGAAAGTACACTAGAGGACATTAGTGGAGAGTAGCCAGCGGTGGTATTTAACCCCTACATTAGGGGAGTTAGTAAAGGATGGTAGTCTATTAAAGAGAATTTGTTATTATTCTGTATTTGATCAGTAAACAATCTGACTTTTCAACATTTTTGTATTTGTGTGATTTAAACAAATCGATTTGTTAGATGGCGAATTTATTCGTCCTGTGTAGAACGGCCTTTGAGTCATTTTTAAGCTGATCGATCAGCTAAAGAACAAATTGTAAGGGGTTCTCTGCAGGACAAATCGATTTGTTGTCAAACAAATCCATTTGTTTAAGGGAGAGTGCAATGAATACTTGTCTAGGGAATCCTGTAGGTCATCACATTTTCTTAGAACTCTGATCTGTAGGAGATTGTCTTAGGGTTTTAGAGTACTTCTGCATGCGTTGTGAGGGCGAGAAAGACTGTTAAGTGCAAGCGACACTATTTAGAGCAATTTGTAGTTGTTTTTTTAACGTGAAAAATTTACTTGTATCGCAGTTGCAATTTTTTTTATATATGATTTTTATTGGTTCTTAACAACAAAGAGTACACAATCATTATAATTTTGTGGTGAGGACAAGAAAATAAGGTACCGTTATCTCAAATAAAACAGTGATGATAGTGCATAGTATAAGTTGATCGAGTGTACACCAAAGTATACAAAACTGTCTTCTACAGGCATATGTCCATAACACAAAGTATGATATGCGATAGATTGCCCGGGGTACAGATTTTTGCCAATTTTCTTAATTAGTAAGTGATGCAGAAAATAAAATAGGGGACACAGAACATAAAAGGGGGAGCTAACACAAGGGGTCTAAAATAATAGGTTAGACATACCGACATACTGAAGTATCAAAAGAAATTAATTCTGCAGATACATGTCATTTATCAAATTAAGTGATGTGAAAAGTAAAAGGATTGCTCTTTGTGGTTGCACATCTCTTCACCTACAGCACAAGGAGGATACGAAGTTGCAATTTTGATGCATATACCAATACTGCGACAAATTATGTACAGCTAAAAATTATTTGTGGAAATTCTTTGGGATCATTAAAAAAAACCAATATAACGTAATCACCATTTGTGTGTGTGTGTTTTTTTTAACGAACTGTTCATGTTGCTACTAAAATGAAATTGATTTGTCTGTGTGCATCTCTACTTATGGCACACAGACTCTAGTAATGAGCCCTTGCCCAGCTTGCATGGTTTACTGAATATGAATGTGGCCTGTATAAATTCATCATATCCTGGCTGTCCTCTGATTCAGGGTCTCAGGGAGACAGAATTCCTAGTGTCTGTGTCAGACACAGCCATTCCTTAGCAACAGTATTGTCAGGAGAGATTTAGCAGTTGGAACATATGAATTCCACATAATGCTAGAGAGCACTTTCAAGCCCTGTCTGGCTGAATACAGACTTTTCCTGAAATTACTTAGCTATTTGACAAATCTACCAGGTACATAAACTACTGATCTACAAAATCTGGCAACGTTGGTTCACTTAACCCCGCAATCTGCATATAAAAAGGACATGCATTGCTTTGAGACAACTGTCTCATTTAAAAGCTTTAGCCTCATCCTGCAGGATGAAAAAAGCAGGTAAATATGATACCCCCTCATATTTTCCTGTTTCTTCTTTCGTATGGTTTGAATCCAGGGAGGGCATTGATGTAACCAGTGTCCTATCCCTAGGAATGTGGGAAAAGTGCCTTGGGCATGCCTGACTGATTTACTCATGTGCATTTGGAAGATCACTTGACCTTGCAACATCCTATTTTACAAAGACTTATGACAGTGATTGCTCCACTAGATGTCTGGTGACCATGAGGTGCAGGGTGAAGGTAAATTTTACTTACTTGAATTTGTCCTTGCGACCCCCACAATTGTCTTGGTACTCCATCTGCCAGGAACCCACGTCAGAGTTTGATTCTCGTGCATGCGCAAGTGTACAACACTGAGATCTTTGGAGGATCCTGTGAGACTTCAGAATCCTTCGTAGACATTGCCCTTTTCCCTACAGCTGTTACTAGTGATGACTTGGGGAAATGACAAAACCTGAAGGCGGTCGCTCCACCATCAAGTTTTCTAAGGTGTGGGAAATTTACTAAGACAAAGTAGTCTATACTGTGTCTTAGTATATCTTTTGACTGCATTGGAATTTTAGTGGAATGTCCTAAATATTTTATCTTATGAAATACTAATTTCTGAGGAGGGGGGCTGATAGAGCAAATGTGTATTCCTAACTCCATAGTGCCCTAGCCCCTGTTTGGGTGCTGGGTCCCTGCCTCAATGGATAAAAAGGTGAGTTTGCTTAACTTTTCACACTCACGTCATTGGTCTCAGGTGTGCAGTTCCACCTCTTTGGCTGTGATGATCAAGATTGATGATGTGTCTTGTAGGAGAGCTTTGGGAGGTTAGTACGCATGCACAGCGAAATGCTGCATCATGTTAATCAGATCGTCTCTCCGAAACTTTTACTCCTCTGTTCCATAGAAAATGCAGAATGATAGCCACCAGAGGAAAGTTAACCCTGCAGTAGTTTAGTTGTTGAACTAAGTCCGCACTGAAACATAAATATTGAATATTAGTAAATAAAAGACATGTTTGTCTGGAATATCCTCTGTATACAGCATATTCAACTGAGCCAGAATTAAACTGATAATTGAGAGTCCATGGGAAAGTAAAAATGTTGTGACAAAATAAATCATGTCATGCATCACAATTACTGGGGCCAAAGTCTGCACATCTATTGTTACAAAAAATGTGATTATTACAAATAAAGGGTCTCAGAATATCATCCATTTATGACATGCTAGAGTTAAGTCATTTTTATTTAGGAAAAACTCCTTTATTTAGTTTGGCGAACAGGCTAAGAACTTTTTTTCTGCAGATTATATAATATAATGGGGTATCCGTGTTATTCAGTAAACTAAGATTAACTGATTACATCTGTATGACAACATTGAGGATTAAATAACCAAGTTGTCACTGAAGCTGAGTTTGAGAGTTTTTCCAAATCAGCTATTTTATGCTCAGTTATACATTTTAGATTAAAGTGGCTAAAATTCTAAGAATAGTGAATAACCTTGTAAGCAGGTCTGGACTGGCCATCGGGCATATTGGGAAATACCTGGTGGGCCGTGATGGCTATGGGCCAAGGCCAACAGGGGAGATCAGTGTACCTCCGATGGGGAGATCAGACAAACTGTCTCCCTACCAGCCCACAGCCACTGAGATGTGGCAGCCGGCGGGGGAGGAAGGGAGAGAGAGATGACCCGGGGAGCTCTATTCTGCAGCTCCGCTGGGTTTCCTCTTGCGAGGTCGGAGAGTTGCTGTGGTTACTATGGCAACACTCCGATCTCGCGAGAGTGAACTCAACCCCAGGAACTACAGGGTAGAGTTCACTCATCACCGGACCACCATGGGACATAAACTTTATATATATATATATATATATATATATATATAATGTTTTATATTTACCCCACAGCACCCCAAACACCACACTGCACCCTTCACACACACACACACACACACATCCCAAACACCGCACTGCCCTCTGACTCTCTGGCCTGCCCCCTTCTCAGCAGGCCACTGTGATTCAAAAATACCCAGGTCAAATTTTTTATCCCAATTTGGCCCTGCTTGTAAGCAGGAGGGCTCCAGAATTTTCTTCCCCCTGGTATAAAATGTATTGGACTTTTTTTTGCACTGCATAACACTGCACTTAAAGCATTAAAATTATGTGGTGATCCTATAATAGTGAAAGTGTTTAGATGGATTCAAAGTTGTTGCATATTATGCTTTGCAAATGTTTGTATTTATACACTATCTGAAGGGGAGATGTAATACAACTTTCATATATCCTGAGGGATTTATTAAGGTGCAAGAAAGAGTCATTTTCAGGTGGGGGGAAGAGGCATGACTGCTGCCCTGAGGGGTTGGCATAGCAACCACATGCATACAGTTGGTTTGACAGTTGGAAACAGGAAATTCTAGGAAAATTACTAGACTACTGGTGGCAGTGTCTTTCCCCACCCAACCTCCCACACAGTTCTGTTTTGGAATAGTTGTTTGTGTTGTGTTTCTCTGTTTTTTAAAAAAAATTCACAGCTGCGGATTTCTTGCACCATCAACTTTGATAAATGAATAATGCCCGGGCTTGGGCAGTCGCAGCCTGAGTTTGGTTGCTGACGAAGGACAGGCTGAAGAGGCTCTGGAAGAAGTTTGAAGTGTACCTATCTGCTGGGTAAAACCAGCAGCTAACAGTATTTGGTTGTGCTGGTTTAAATAAAGCTGTGACTGTTGTCCTTACCCTCTTAACATGGTGTTCCGTTACTTATTGGGAATGGAAGGGTAATGGGATTTGGTGATTCAGCAGTCATGCAGAAATAAGCTAGGTAGGATAGAAAGACATAAACTGTGACTTTTGCAGAACTAATTTTCGATGCCTTGAATGACAGAGACTAATACAATGCAGGAATACTTCTCAACTGTCCCAGATCCGGGAGGACAGTCACAAATTAATGATCCGGGCCCACAGTCTTGGGTTTGTTGCATGATGTCACTAATCTGTGAAGGGAACATTAGATATATTCACTCTAAGAAAACTGAGGGCACCAAGTCCATGCCAGAGCACTTCAGAAACACACAAGACATAGGTAGCCCCGATTAGGGCCTGCCAGAGAGACTGTCAGTCAGATACAGTCTCTGGCAGAGGAGCAATGAAAACACAGCCATTCCTGTAAAACATGTACTAAACCATGTACTGAATGGAGTGTGTATGAACTGCGTAAATGTTACAAATGTAGCTTTTTTCCCCTCGTGTCACTCCCTGTTATGTTTTGTCTTGTGATGTCATACATATTATAATTATGCAAACTAGCATCGGCAGTATGTTTTTCCAAGAAAGGTGGCAACCCTAATGGAAGGTGTGTCTGTGAACTGGATGGAAGGTGTCTGTGAATGGTGTTTGAATGTGTGTCTAAACTTTATTTTCTGTGTCACTGGCAAGCCACCAGTTGGACCCATTCAGTTAGGGCAAGGAGAAGTCTGCCAGGCAGTAATATTGGGTGACGTAGTGATGGGTTTAACACAATATGGCCATATGGTGGAACTGAATCCCCAAATGCGTTTGTTGAGATAGGTGATTTAAGTAGTCTTGTAAAAGTTAAAACCATATTTTTGTGTGTGCACGCTGGTTTCTTATATGTATTTTGTATAAATTTTGGTCTTTAGGACAGCACTTTTCCCCGAACATATATTAGAGGAATTCCCTGCTCTGGTGCGTATGTCTACGTTCGGGTAAATTTCATAGACAAGCACACTAGAGCAGGGAATGCCTCTAATCTATGTTCGGGGAACTTTCCCATAACATAGAAAAATGCACCAGAGCAGAGAATCCATCTAGTCTATGTTCGGAGAACGCTCCCCAAACATAGATTTGAGGGATTCCCTGCTCTGCTGCGCTTGTCTATGTTTGGGAAATTTTCCCAAACAAAGACCTGCACTGGTGTGCATGCTCTGTAGCGCATCCTCACTTACCGACCAATTCATTTTAGACCGGGTCGTAAGAAAGGAACTTCGTCGGTAATTGAGGAGTAGCTGTGTTTATAACTTGTGAATATTTTTGCACAGTTCCCTAGACTTGTGCACAAATCCCTTTTAGCTATAACTCACAAATCAACCTGACAATCTATAGACGTGGTTTACCTAACGAGTCGATTAATTTAGATAGATTAAAAGGCATTTTATTTATTTTTTCCAATGCAGCTGAAAAGGATTTGTGCACAAGTCTAGTAACAGCTTCCTATTTGACTAATTACTACTAGTGCTAAATGCAAAATAATTAGTGTTTGTTATTGTCTATACATTGCCTTGCAAAAGTATTCACCCCCTCCTTGGCATTTTTTGTGTTTTGTTGCCTCACAACCTGGAATTAACATGGATTGTTTGAGGATTTCCATCATTTAATTTACAGAACATGCCCACAACTTTAAAGATTTTTTTTTTATTGTGTAGAAAACAACAAATAGGACAAAATAACAGAAAAAGTCAATGTGCATAACTATTCACCCCCCTAAAGTCAATACTTTGTAGAGTCACCTTTTGCGGTAATCACAGCTCCAAGTTGCTTTGGATAAGTCTCTATGAGCTTGCCACATCTTATCACTGGGATTTTTGCCCATTCCTCCTTGTAAAACTGCTCCAGCTTACTCAAGTTGGATGGTTTGCGCTTGTGAACAGCAATCTTTAAGTCTGATCACAGATTTTCTATTGGATTGAGGTCTAGGCTTTGACTAGACCATTCCAATACATTTACATGTTTCCCCTTAAAGCACTCAAGTTTTGCTTTATCGGTGTGTTTGGGGTCATTGTCCTACTGGAAGGTGAACCTCTGTCCTAGCCTCAAATCACGAACAGAGTGGTACAGGCTTTGCTCAAGAATTTCCCTGTATTTAGCACAATCCATCTTTCCCTCAACTCTGACCAGTTTCCCATTTTGGGCTGCTGAAAAACATCCCCACATCATGATGCTGCCACCACCATGTTTCACTGTGGGGATGGTGTTCTTTGGGTGATGTGTTGGGTTTGCGCCAGACATAGCGTTTTCTTTGAGTCTCCCATAGTGAGTCTCATCAGACCAGAGCACCTTCCTCGATACATTTTGTGAGTCTCCCATATGCCTTTTCGCAAACTCAAAACGTGCCATTTTGTTTTTTGCTGAAAGTAATGGCTTTCTTCTAGCAACTCTGCCATAAAGCCCAACTCTATGGAGCGTACGGCTTATTGTCGTCCTATGTACGGCTTATTATACTCCAGTCTCTGCTGTGGAACTCTGCAGCTCCTCCAGGGTTACCTTAGGTCTCTGTGCTGCCTCTCTGATTAATGCATCTCCTTGCCTGGTCCGTAAGTTTTGGTGGGCGGCCGTCTCTTGGCAGGTTTGCTGTTGTGCCATGTTCTTTCCATTTGGTTATGATAGATTTGATGGTGCACCTGGGGATCATCAAAGATTTGGATATTTTTTTATAACCTAACCCTGATGTGTACTTCTCAACAACATTGTGCCTTACTTGTTTGGAGAGTTCCTTGGTCGTCATGGCAGTGTTTGGTTAAGTGTTGCAGCCTCTGGGGCCTTTCAAAAAAGGTGTGTAAATGTAATGACAGATCATGTGACACTTGCACACAGGTGGACATCATTTCACTAATTATGTGACTTCTGGAGGTAATTGGTTGCACCAGTGCTTTTTATGGGCTTCATAACAGAGGGGGTGAATACATACACCCACGTCAATTTTCTGTTTTCTATTTCTAAAAAATAGTTTTATGTATATATTTTTCTCATTTCACTTCACCAACTTCGACTATTGTGTTCTGATCCATCACATAAAATGCAGATTAATAAAACATTGAACTTAAGGCTGTAATGTAACAAAATAGGTAACAAGTCAAGGGGGTGAATACTTTTGCAAGGCACTGTATATTTTTTTGCTGTCTTTAGTACGTTCCTCCATTAGCACAGATGAGACTAACAGATTTCTGATTTTTCTTGTAATGAAAATTAACTTGACATCCAATCAGAAGTATATATATTTCCACGTTCAGAAAATGTTTTTTCATTTCCAATTTTAAATCATTAATGGCTATTGCTATTTACCCAGCCTTTGATTTTCACTGGTGCCCCCCCCCCCAAAAAAAGGAAGATTATTTGGGTCCAATGGTCCTTGTCTGTATAAAAATGCTGGGATTCAACATAAGCAGCACTCTACTTTTCTCTTTACAACCACTGCAACAGATTTGTAAAATTCATGAACTTTTATCAAACACAGTAATGGGCTGTCTCTTCACTGTACGAAGTTGCACTTTTTGAGTCTCTATTTAAAAAGCTATTACATGCATCTTTAGTTACAAAAGAAATATTAAAGATGTTAGGTGATGTGCCATAGAATAGATATATTTTCTGCTATTTATTCAGATGGTATGAGTTGGTAATTTCACATTTTATTGTATTACAAGCCCTATGAGTGGGGCAGAAGGTAGTAGTGCATCTGCATCAGAGCCTTAGTTTTTTCCTTGGTATTGAACACACTAAACCTAGCAATTTTTTTTTTTTAACTCCATGTGACTTAGTCAGGTATTATTAAAGTGGCACTGTCACCACCTAGGGACTTTGCATAATTTGCAAAGACCCCCCACTGTGACATTGGTGCTGTGGTCTGGTGGCGGTGGTCAGGGAAAGGTGACATCTACATACCTGAACCTATCTCTCATGGGTGCCACCACTAGTGAGACTACAGGTGTAGACTAGTCTTGCAATATCCATAGCACTTTGTTCACTAAATGGCTATTTGTGACAAAGTGACAACCACTTTGTAGAGTTAATCTTAAACTCAAGAGCTTAAAAATAAGATTGAGCTCTACAGGCACCCAGACCATTTGATCCCAATGAAGTGGCCTGGGTCCCCCCCCCTTCCATTTAAAACTTGGAGCTGAAAACATTGATGCTCTGTAGTAATGGCAATAGGTTTATTGCAGATTTAATATGACCGCAAGTAGAGGCGCATCCGTGAAACAGTGGAGAAAGACTCCACTATCTCAATCTGGTGGTCTCAGAATTTTGATGAGCATGCGCCCTAGCCTAGGCTGAATTGGCTAAGATTATCAATCTTGATGACCTCAGCCAAAGAGCTGAGCTGCATGCTGGAGACCAGCCCTATGAGGGAGAAAAAGTAAGTAAACTCACCTTTTTATAAATCTTACTCAAAATGTGCAATTTTTAACAAATCAGAAGGGGCACTCCGTCTGTAATTTTCATTGCCATTGATTTCCTATATATATATTTAACAAAGACATTACAGCGTAAATCAAGAGAGGTTGTCAACAATAGAGCACTATGCCTGTCTGAGGTGCTGCACAATTTTTATGATTATATAGAGAAATGGCCAAGCATCTAACATAACACATGCTAGATAGAACTGCATCATGAAAAAGAGTAGAGACCAAACTCAGAAATTGCTGAAGTCCTGATTAACCCTTGCCAGCCCTGGGTGAGACATAGCCCCATGGTATAGCCAGTATCCATAGAGCCCCGTATCTCAGATATAGGGATGTGTAAGGGGTGATCAGGATGCTCACTGGGGTGTAGTGTCATGTACCCATCCGAAGTTAGGCCCCTGTTCCTGGGAAAGTGGTCATTGTCTACAGGGTCTCTGAATGACTGCCAATGGAACAGGTTTGAATCTCCGCCAGGATCGTCAAGGTCGGTTCGTGTCTCTGTTGCTGGAATATATTCTTCTTAACTCCTAAAAGGGTCTCTGTCCTCAAATGTAGGTTGCATAGATTATTAAATCAGTGTAGTTTAGTTAGAAAATATTTTTGTGGCTAGGGGGAGATTTTATTTTTTTAATTCTTTATTTTTGTTGTGCATTGCAAGATAGCAAGTAAAGACAGAGACAATGCAGTAATCAGCTTAAGAGAGTAGAAGCAAGAGGTTACAAGACTTGTCTGGGATACAGCACTATTTTTTTAAAATTACAGGAATACAAGTCACTTATGTGACATGGCAGAGGAGTTACCCCCCAAAAGGCCCCATGTGACCTCAAATATGTAAATATGTCACATATGAGTAAACTACAATATATACTATATTCTATAAGAATGCAAAAAGTAAATGAAGCCATTCTATAAGAATACAAAAAGTAAATGTGCCTGTGCCCAATCGCTAGTAATGAGGCAGAGGAAGGAAAGGGAGTCAGCTCAGCCTATGCCTTGTAAGGTCCAGGTAGAGTCCTGCACCAGAAACTGCCCCAGCAGGCATGATAGCTCACGGGTAAGCCTGAAAAAAAGGATGGCTTGGAGACATGAGCCGTAAGGCAGCAGCACCCAAGCTGTTCCGTCCATCCAGGAAGCATGTAGGCGCAGCATCAGGAATCCAGAGAGGTTGTTCTCAGTATACGCCAAGATGTGTCTATCCGGGAGCTGGTGTAAAGGACAGGTCTGATCTGGAGAGGGCTCCTCTTCTCCCGGTCTATCTAGATGTGCAGGACTGTGAGACATGAGGTCTGGCATGAGATCAGGAGCCGCGGTCCACATGCGAGCGGTCAGCTTCACAAAGAAGGCGTCGAATAGCTCTGTCAGCCTGCTCTCCACATCCCATCTCCCACCGCATAGGTCAGGCGAGCAGGCAACCGCCATTGTAGTGGTAGGGTCGGTACTGCTTGTAAGTGTCCCTTGGGCACAGCATAGTAGTTGAACCTTTGGGGTTTGGACCAGGATCACCGCGTCCTCCTTTGAGTGTAGGAGCAATCCTTAGTTCACGTGCTATAAGAAAGCCCAGTATAGCAGGGTAGTGGTAAGTCTCTTGTAGCTGCAAAAGTAGAGTCCCAAGGGCCAGTAAACATGGGTAAATCAGTAATTAAGTTGGCAGCTCTTTCAGAATACGGCCGACCACCACGCAGGTTAGGCCCTGCCCCCCTCACTAGGGGGAGATTTTATCATATCACAGAGCCACAGAGATTCCTGCTGATTCCTTAGAACTAAAAGTATGAGACACACCAGGAACATGTTACAATTTTTTTCCACAAACAAGTAAGAGAATATTCTATTATGCTTATTACATTGAATTAATTTCCATATTTATACAGGGTCGAAATTATAGTGAGGTGATGGTTTACAAAGATTTACTATGGAATTTGAGATTCACATGTTCTCTCCAGGAACACAGCTATTTGTAGGGACAAGTGCAATTATTTAATGATGGCTTGAAGAGAAACATACCTTTTCCAAGCCAGTTTTGTGAATGGGGCGTTACTGACTGTCTGAAAGCTTCAACTGACCGCTCTCAGCTAATCAGTGCCCCCTGCCTGGCTTCACTTCTCACTTCCTGAAACTGACATTTCAGAAGCCGGACGCCACGTTGGGGGAAGTTGAGATGGCGCTGGATTAAACTTCGGAGGTCCAACTGTTCACAGTTAAACTGGGGGCCTCCAAGCACCATAAGGCACCATAACAACTTAATGTAAATGAAGTTGTTATGGTGTCTAAACCATCCCTTTCACTCATTTCGGTGGCACTACTCTCTAGGGACAAGTGATAAAATTTTTCTGTATGGGTCAGTGTGTGTCTAAATGGGTCTTTGTGTGCCTGTATGGGTTATTGTGTGTCTGTATGGGTCAGTGTGTGTCTGTATGAGCAGGGCCAGCCTTAGGCAATTAGGCGCCCTGTGCGAAAAGTCTGCACGGCGCCCCCCACCAGCCACCAAGTTGCCTGTATACAGTCACACACACAGAGACGTGTGTATCGCGAGGCAAACAAGGCATCTGCCTTGGGCGGCACTTTGCAGGGTGCAGCAAAAAAAGCCACCACCAAACGCCCAGGCAGATCCCTTGCTTGCCTCTCTTCCTGGGGGGCTCAAGAGCTGGCCAGCTGGACACTTTTGAGCCACCCCCCCAGAGGCATACTCATCTGAGCTCTTCCTGCTCAGCTACCTCCTCGCCGATTAATGAAGCCGGGAGCCGGAATATGATGTCAGTCCAGCTCCGGGCATCACTAAGCGCCGCCTACTCAGCCTGTGTGCCCCCTGCCTGCCCGCCCAGCAGCCACATTGGACTGCAGGTAAGAAATCCACTCCAGCTCTCCCAGGGAGGCTGGGTGGATTTAAAATAAAATTTAAAAAATATTAGTTTGTGAGTGTTGGTGGAAATGTGTGTGTGTGTCTGTGAGTGTGTATGTCAAAGTGAATGTGTGTGTGAGTGTGTGTCTGTGAATGAATGTGTGTGTGTGTCTGGAGGTGTATGTGTGTATGTGTGTAAGTGTTTATGTGTGTGTCTGTAAGTGAATGTGTGTGTGTGTAAGTGTTTATGTGTGTGTCTGTGAGTGAATGTGTGTGTCGGTCAGTGGGGGCGTGCGTCTGTCAGTGAGAGTGTGTGTCTGTCAGTGTGTGTCCAAGTAAAGTGTGTGTGTGTGTCATTGTTTGTCAGTGTATATGACAGTGTGTGTCTGTCAGTGAGTGTGTGTCTGTTAGTGAGTGAGCGCCTGTCAGTCAAAGTGCGGCCTTGACAGAAAGGGGTGGGGGAAATTTAAACTCGGTTACAGGCATGTACACACACACTCAGTTAATTGCAGTCACACAAACAGGCACAGGCACACACAACGGCACAGCTACAGCGACACACACAATTAGTCACACACAGTCAGACAGTCACACACACACACACACAGGCAGTCACACAGACAGAGAGTCACACATACACAGACACACATACACACACAGGCAGACAGTTATACACACACAGTCACACACACACAGACACAGATAGACAGTCACACACACAGGCAGGCAGTCACACAGACAGACAGTCACACACACACACACACACACACACACACTTACCTCTTTCCAGTGGATGCAGTTGGTTGATGGGAAGCAGGGACTCCTTACCTCTTCCTGTGCAGCAGTTACCAGGGGCTTCGGGAAGGTATTAGCCCTGTCTCCGCCTTGCGATAAGCCACTCGTTAAGCCCCGCCCGCTGCATCGATATATATATATTTTTAATAGACCCAGGTGGAGAATAATTAATCCTCCACCCGGGTACCTGTTTAACCTCCCCTGCACTCCGGCCATGTGCGAGCTGTGTCGGCCACAGGGAGCCCCCTGGTCCATGGCGCCCTGTGCGGCCGCACAGCTCGCACACCCCTAAGGCCGGCCCTGTGTATGGGTCAGTGTGTGCCTCTATAGGTCAGTGTGTGTCTATATGGGTAAGTGTGTGTCTGTATAAGTAAGTCTGCGCTTGTATGGGTCAGAGAAACTGCTATGTTTACATATGGGTTAATCCAGCCTCTAGTGGCTGTCTCATTGACAGCAGCTAGAGGCGCTTCCGCACTTCTAACTGTGATTTTCACAGTGAGAAGATGCCAGCGTACATAGGAAAGCATTGTGAATTATTTCCTATGGACTGACTAAATGCGCTTGCGGCTCTTGCCACGCATGCGCATTCAGCCGATGACGTCCGAAGGAGGAGGAGAGTCCCCAGCGCCGAGGGAGCCTGGCGCTGGAGAGAGGGGTCATGAGGGTGGGGGCACCCTCAGGGCACTATAGTGTCATGAAAACAAGTTTGTTTTCTTGGCACTATAGTGGTCCTTTAATTTTATTAAAGCAGGGGAGAGGGGGGTGGGATTTAACTTTAACTTTATTTTTTTTCACAGGGAGAAGATCAGCAGCACTGATCCATCTCCCTGCACTTCACATTGACCGCGGAAGCACAGGGAGGCGGATCAGAAGTCCATGTAGCACATGTGCTCGCTCTGACAGCCTGTCAGAGCGATCACAGCTGCAGGGACAGCGCAATCTGGTGCACCTGGTCTGCCTTGAATACCGGCAGAGTGATTTTTTTTATGGTGTATGTATGTGCAAAATTTGAATTTAAAGAAACTTCTAAATAAAAAAAGAGGGAAAAAAAATAAAGGAAGATTTAGAAAGAGATTTTCAAATTAAATTTGAAAGGAGGAGTGCGTGGGCCAAAAACCCTCTCACCCATTTCAGCCCCAGGGGAAACCATTTGCATAACTACAGTCTTTGTTTTATGTTATGGTCTTTCAGAGTGCAAACACAATGCTTTACTGATTACCTGGCTGCTCTGGTGGACGGTAGCAGAGATTGTCACACTGCAGGCACACTCAGAGAGGAGAAACAAACAGCCACTATTAAGAAGTATTTTTAATTGGGGGGAAAAAACAAACAAATGAAATGAAAATGTAAATTAAAGTAGAAGAGGGGAGTGAATTGGCAACTGACAATACATTCAACTGTTTCATCTCTGGGTAAAGCATTTGCACTTTTTCAGTCCTTGGTGGATAGAGCAGACCTCCAGAGTCCAGATGCAGCACCTTTAGCAAATTACTAACTGCTAAGAGCTCACTTTGCACAGTGTTTTGGTAGGCACACACTATTCTTGACATCACAGTAACTCAAAGGGTCAACAGTACGGGGACAAAGAGGTTAAAGGGGTACTTCAGACACGAAAACAACTTTATCTAAAACAAGTTGTTATGGTGCCCGGAGACCCGTGGAGGCACTCTTACGTCACGGTCAAGGGGTTAAACCATTTTCAAACGGTTTAACCCTTGATCTGGAAAGAAAGGTACAATTCTTTCCATGCTAGTTTTGTGAATGGGAAGTCACTGATTGCCTGAGACCGTCAGCTGACCACTCTTGACCACGGCAGCGCTGCCTGTGGTCACTCCGTGTTTTACGCCAAAGTTGCCTCCAGCAGCGATGTCCACTCCCCTCTTCTGAAATTTAACTTTCAGAAAGCATGTGCTGCTGGGCAGGAGCCTTGCTGATTTACTGAGAGTGGTCAGCTGATGCTCTCAGCCAATCAGTGACTCCCCATTCACAAACCTGGCTTGCAAAGAAACGTACCTTTTCCAAGCCAGTTTTGTGAATGGGGCATCACTGACTGTCTGAAAGCTTCAACTGACCGCTCTCAGCTAATCAGTGCCCCCTGCCTGGCTTCACTTCTCACTTCCTGAAACTGACATTTCAGAAGCTGGACGCCACGTTGGGGGAAGCTGAGATGGCGCTGGAGTAAACTTCGGAGGTTCAACTGTTCACAGTTAAACCGGGGGCCTCCAAGCACCATAAGGCACCATAACAACTTAATGTAAATGAAGTTGTTATGGTGTCTAAACCATCCCTTTCACTCATTTCGGTGGCACTACTCTCTATTCCTTGCTGTTTGTGTTAAGAGGTTAATGTCTGTATGTACACATACAGAGTCCCTTTAATTTACAATTTTCTTTTTACTCTAATGGCAGTTGGGATAAGTAGATTAACCCTTGCAGTTTGCCTTTAAGTAAAATTGAGCATAATCAAAGAGGTTAATGAAAAATGTATTTTTAAGGTTGTATTTACTTTCATTTACATTCCCATCGAAAAGATCAGATTGATAAATGAATGTATTTACATTGTTCTGTAACATGAGTTTCTATGAGTAATTCATTTGGAAAGAAATATGTGACATTAGATCTATAAGAGCTCAGAAATGCTTGGAATAGTGCCTGGGTTTCAGTACAAGCGCAGAGCGTCTGATTTATGTGAGCCTCATGATTTTCCCTGTAAATATATTTCACAAGCTTCGTAATATTAAAGGTGACTCTGGTTCCTGATGTTATACTGCAGAGCGGTGCACTGAAAACAGAGCTCTGACAGTATCGGAGGCGAGGAATGACATTAAATAATTGCATAGTTATTTAAAGCATCCATGAGACGGCATTAAATGATATGAGTAAAACTATTTCAAATGAATTAAAAAATTTTTTTTTTTTTATATAAATTATATTTTTAAAGGAACACTCATTGAAATTGTTATGACTCAGGAATGTCCAGGCACCATCTTACCGTCAAGGGTTAAACCATTTTCCAACAATTTAACTGTGATCTTAGCCCCCTGGTGCCTGTCACCGTTGCCCAATGACTCCGTTTTCTCTCAGTCTATCACTGGATCCTATTTAATAAGATATTACATACTATTAAATCACAACGGGAACTTGAAATTGAAAAATGGCACTTTTTCAAAACACATTTGTTTGTCATGCATGTGTTCTACTAAATAAACCAATGGCCAACCATGGACATCTCTTTTTTTGGGTTCTCTCATTATGGTCTGGTGCAGACCTGCGCTCTGATTCCCTCATTGAATGTCAGACCGGAAATAGTGTTAAGACAGCTAGCTCCCAGTCTATTTCACACAAAACACATACTATGCATGCCACTCTTAAAAGAGCACCTGTTGGCATGTGTGACACAACTGTGGCATTGAAGGATGACTGTGGCCTCATTGGATGTACTTTGTGGGAGCGTTACAGAGACGTGGTATGTGAAGTCAGCATGCATTCTTCCAGTGTGGATTGTCACCAATTTATGCTAAAAAACACCCCTCACAGTTGACTAGGGGTCCCCCCAAAAATAATAAAATAGAGCCCTACCTATCCCTCTCACCCTAAAAATAATGAGGGGGGACAATACCATTAACATTTAATGTCTTTTTTTTTTCAGCCCCCAAAAAGGTTAAATTAAAATCCATAAAGCCCGTTGACCTTTAAAAATAAAAGACCCGAGAGGAAAAAAAAAAAAAAAATGACGAAAAAAATAAAATCCCGACAGTAAAAAAAGAATCCGTCTTCACCCAGGGAGGGCACCGTTGAGACTGAGCTTCGCAGGGCGGGGAAAGCTTATAAAGTCTTCCCACTCCCTGCAATTTGACTCAGAGCGCTCTGATTGGTTGGTTTAATAGTGAGCCTTACAGATAACCAATCAGGTATGGGTGGGGATCGGGGGACGGACGGACAATAAGTCCCCTCCGTATTGTCTTTTAGGGCCCCAAAATGCCACAAGGGGGTCGGGGGGGGGGACAACAGGTCCTCCCCCATTGTCTTTTAGGACCACAACCCACGCCGCTCATGGGTGGGGGCCGGGGCGGGGAACAATAGATACTCCCCCCTCTTGTCATTTAAAGCCCCCACCTGCCGCTCATGGATCGGGGTCAGGGGATGGGACAATAGGTCCTCCCTCCTCTTGTCATTTAGGGCCCCCACCTGCCGCTCATGGGAGGGGGCTGGGGGGACGGGACAATAAGTCCCCCCTATTGTCTTTTAGGGTTCCCACTATTGTTATTTGGGCACCCACCTGCCGCTCATGGGTAAGGATCGGGGGGAACAATAGGTCCCCCTATTGTTATTTAGGGCCTCCACACTCCGCTAATGGGTGGGGACCGGTAGGGGGACCCTAGGTCCCCGTTTAGCTGAATAGCCACCACTCGCGGGGCATGGGTGGGTGTTCGGGGGGGACACTATGTCCCTTGTTATTTATTTGAATATGTGGGCACTTTATTGGAGGGGAGGTTTTTTTTATTATACATGCCCCTACTCGCTACAGGCTGCTCACTGTTTAGTAGACATGCCCCTACTCGCGGCATAGCGAGTAGGGGCATTCGGCAGATTTCAATCTCCCTTATGCTAATATTATATATAGGTAGTAGAGTCTGGGGGGTTAAGAAAAAAACAGATGCAGCCGGTGCACCTTTAAGTGTTAGTAGCTAAATCTATGTTGCTGGTGGTTTGATTGGTTACTGGCCAGGAGTAAAGAGTTACTAAAGAGTGATAAAAATATGTTTACCATATATTGATGTGTGCACACTGCTGATAATCAATTTTCAAATATGCAATTGCGTAGTTACCAGATGTGTTTCCATTCTGTTGAATAATAAATCTATGATAATATGGTGTGATGATCGAAGAAACTGCATATTGATTGACCGAACTGGATTAATTACTGCATTGCAATATTTCAATAAGTAGTTAATGTAGAAATTGCAAATTGGCTATTGTTTGGTTTGACCAAATTGATTAAATTGCTGTTTTGTCATTTTCTATTATGCTTGCATTGCATTGATCTCACGCATGACCATTATTTTCATGTCACAATAAAAATAAAATTATTTTGTTTTGATAAACAGATTTAAAGGTCTGGAGTAAAAGGTATAATTATAGTTACGGTATATATAATGTAATTGTTGTGGAATCAATTAATAAATTGATTATCTTGCGTATCTGCCCCCGGCCAAATTAAGAAGTAATGCGTGCACTCTCCTAAAGTAATTCACACCAGACACAGGTTTTGGGTTAATGAAAAACTTGAGGAATGTTTATTCTGAGGGGACGGCATGTCCCTTATAAAGCAAAATTACATCAGATGCATTGTCAGAGATAACATGGAATAATACATCAATAATTGGTTAGGTGTTAAGTGGTTCATTTAGTGCTCTTCCTACCGGGTGTGATGTCACTGGTATCTTGGAGGTCTCCCCCAGATTCCAGCACCATCTTGTTAATGAGGGTGTTAGTCGATGTCAAAGGGAAACTCCCTAGTGGCCATTTTAGGTAAATCACATAGAAAGTTGAATAATGCTGATTGTAGTTATACTGAGTAAATAGGCATTTTACCAACATGGATCGGGTTAATATCTTTGTCCACAACAGTAATATAATAATAATATAATGATATGGTGTATATAATAATAATATAATTATATGGTATATATATAATATAATAAGAATATAATTATATGGTATAATATAATTATATATATATATATAGACAAACAAACCTTGCCCCAACCCTGCCTGCACAAGAGTAAGGGTGCCACATGTGCCTACTCGGCCTGTTCAAAACAGCTGTCCTCATTGCTTTGCTGTCTTTCCTGCTGAACAGAAGCCCTCGTTTCTGCATCGCTTTATCCCCTCAGATTTATCACAGTCATCTCCTGCAACCAGGGCCAGATTAAGAGCCCAGTGGGCCTGGTGCTGACAATTATGATGGGCCTAATTACAAAATTTTATTGACCAAAAACACTAAAACAGTCCTACCTCCTAAGCGTCATGTATCTGATGGAGATGGTGCTGGAGGGAAACTCATAGGACACAGCTATGAGAAAACACATACCCACGCTTTTATCTTTCAAGTAAACCCATACCCCCTAACAGCAGTGTCCAGTAAAGCAGGAAGTGTATGGATGGGGCAAAAGGGTGGGCCACTGACACAAATCACATAACCATAACTGCTGAAAGGGGTGAAAATACACAAAAAGGAGGCATGTCTGTGTCCCCATGTCTCCCAGTGTCCCCATGTCACTAGGACACTAGGGGACATTGAGAGACATTGAAAACACTGAGAGACCTGGGGACACTAAGACTTTTGGGGAAACTGGGAGACATGGGGACACTGGGTAACTTTGAGACACTAGAGGACACTGGGAGACATGGGGCACTGAGACACTGTGATACATAGCACACTGATATATAGGGGACACTGGAGACTTGATAAAGACCTGGGTACAGGTCAAAATGTTGCGGTGTCCAATAAACCTGCATAAATCTATCACAGTGAGTGCCTGAGATTTTTTTCTTTTATACTAGGGGACACTGAGACACTTGAGGGCACTGTGAGACATGGGGACACTGGGAGACTAGGAAACACTGAGACACTACGGACACTGGCACACTGCGGACACTGAGAGACACCAGGGACACGGAGACAGGGGATACTGAGATACTAGGGACACTGGCTGGAAGACATGAAGACACTGGGAGTGCCCCATGTCTCCCAGGTCTCAAAGTCGCCCAGTGTCCCCATGTTTCTCAGTGCCCCCGGTGTCTCAGTGTGCCCATGTTGCCCAGTGTCCTCTAGTATTTGTATGCCCATGTCTCTATGTCCCCGAGTGTCCCAATGTCACTAGGACACTAGGGGACACTTAGAAACATTGGGACACTGTGAGACATGGGGACACAGAGACTAGGGGCCACTGGGAGACATGGGGCCACTGTGTCCCTAGTGTCTCAGGGTTTCCATGTTCCCCAGTGTCCCTATGTCTCCCAGTGTCCCCATGTCTCAGTGTCCCCAAGTCTCTCAACGTCCCCATGTCTCGCAGGCTCGTAGCTGCTGTCTGGACTCTCTGCGCAGAGCTGCTCCCCCGCTGATCAGTGAGTAGAGAGAGGCAGATGCTGTAACTTCTTATCGCTGCCTCTCTCCACACAAACAGCGACCCCTACTGGCTGGGCTGGTATTGCAGAATAATGTCTGTTTATACTGAGATAGACATTTGTATTGCCGGTATTACTGCAATACCGGCACCGGCTAGGCAGTCTCAAATACCTGAGAAATACTTCTGAGAAATACCTGGCAACCATAAGAAATACCTGGAGTAGTGTGTAAAAAAAATAATAATATATATATATATTTAAATCAATGGGCCTATTCCATGGGCCTGGGCCTGGGCCTGGAGCTGCAGCTCCATCAGCCCCTATGTTAATCTGGCCCTGCCTGCAACGAGGAGAGGGGCAAGGGGCCAGAATGGACACCTCATATAAATCCTTGCAGGAACAGACAAAACTTGTGATCCATATGCACGTCTATACATTACATCCCTCACTGCTACCCACACATATACAGTTACAAACACCACACACACACACACACACACACACACACACACGCAAGCACACGCAGCTACACACACTCACAATCTAGATACACACAGACAAATACACACACTATATGTCTGTGTGTGTACAAAATGTTTGCAAGACTTGGTGGGGGAAGAGTTTGTTTGGGATGCTTGAGAATGATCTGTGTGCAGGTACTAGTAATATTAATCCAGCCATGTGAGTGTAGGGACCCCTAATCTCACGGCAGCTCTGAGTTATACCTGTCTGAGATAACTGAGAGTTACTCTCCTGATAATCAGGGGACATGAGGAGACAGATACAGTACAATTTTGTTCCCCTAGCTTCTCTGCTGGCATATCACTATTGGGATAGTGGCTGAAATAACCGTGATGCTGCAAACAGTAGCTAGTTCCTGGGACTGTAAATCCATTCATCTCAAACTGGCTGGTTATTTATGATTCAATAGTATTTTCCCATAATGTAATAATGATTCACTGTTGCATATCATATGCAATCTTACAGATATCATTATGTATTTTAACAGAGTACAAATATTTCATTGTAAAACTGTATATAGTGATGCAGAGATATTATTAAAACTTGCAGTGCTGCAAAGCGGTGACATAGAAAGTGAATATTACGGTTAACTCCTTTTTGAATAAGAGCATTGTCCTAGACTCAGTAATGCATAACATAGGTCAGTCTGACATTTCTGGGAAGTAAAATACCATCTTTATATAGTTTTGGGTGTTTGGATGTATTGTAATATCAGATGCACGCAATGTATAAATTGAACATATATCTTGAAAGTAGACATGTTTTAACAACATTTAAAGTGTGATATGTTGGAGTGTGACCATTTTTTATTATCTCTTAAAGTTCATTGGCGGATCAGACCTTTATCAATAGGCTACTGCTTCATAATGTACCACAAATCAGTCTACTGTACAGCTGAGCGCAGTCATATGGTTTAAGGGAAAAAGGTCAGTACTCACAGATTAAATGTCAGTTTGGGGTAGGTTTAGTTTAAAGAAGTGACCTGTTCCATGGACCGTTTCAAGATTTATGTGTAGAGAGCACAGCTTTGGAATGAAGCAACGTATGTTTTGTTTCAGATGTTCGTTATCACACAATGATATGTAACATCTCCTGTAAAAAGCAGGTTTATTAATATATTTTGATAAATATGCTTTGTAGAAGAAGAGTCTGGCTTAAGATGCCAGTTACTCGATTAATCTGAATATTCAATACATTTCCAGGAAAAGATTGCTTTACCGTTATTGTACTTTAATTTCTGAAAAAATTGTACAGCGCTGCAGAAAATGGTGGTTTTGAAGTAATAATATGAGTACAGATGGTCATAGTCTGAGAGATGGAAATGTACTTAATGTGTTTATGTGTGTATCAGTATTGATGGTCAGTAGTAACATGAGTGGTAAACAAACATTACTTGACATTTCTTGTATGAAACGAATGCCCCCAATGACGCATATTTCACTAATGACACCTATGTGAGACTGAAATGATCAACTAGAGTTACTCTTTCTCAGGCTGACGGTGAGCTTTTCATTTAAAAGTAGAATTAGGATTGGGAGGGTTTTAGGGTTTAGTGTTGGTGTAACAATAGGGGAAAGTCCACGAGGTCTGTTCGGAAAGTATCCATACATGTAATATGAAAAATGGAGAAGAAGATAGATGCAAGATACAAGAAACATTGTACATATGACTTCAGTCCTCTTTACAGGAAGCACCTTGGGACCTTGGGACCAGCTTCTCTTCCACTGTTCAAAGCACTGTGCAAAATCCTTTGTTGGAATCACCATCAGCTGCCTCGTCTTATTTACCTGAATCTAAGTGGCCTGCTGAAATCTTTTCCCTTTCAAAGGTGATTTTAGTTTTGGGAAAAGCCAGAAGTCGCAGGGTACCAAATCTTTCTCGACCATCTTGACCATCTTTGAAGCATTTGTGCCACACTTTTATCTGCTGCACTCATTGCATCATCCCTGAAAACCTTCTAAATCATCCACATAGTTCACTGAGGAATGTTCAAGCTTAACGCAAAATTTGATGCATATTCGTTGCTCTACTCGCTTAGTCCTTTTTAAAAAAAAAAAATCTTTATTTTGGTTGTGCATAGCAAGGTCATGGTATTACATTACAATTTAGCCATACATTGGCCATAATAGTATTGTATATAGTACTATAATAGTATAGTAATAGTATAACAAGGCACCTTTTTAAAAGATAGAATAACAAGACTGAACAGTAGATTCGGGTTAAATATAGAAAATTAAAACAAGCAGTAGAAGCATGTCAATGGTGCGGTATTAGAAGTGTTTTCATAATAGGTTACTCAGACTGAATTTATGAGTGATCTTTTTTTTCAATATTTAATTTTTATTGAAGTTTTCACAGAATTAACGAAATACATTGGGATACAGAAGGAAAAAAGGGAAGGGGGACATATATATATAACAGTTCATTTAGTTTGTGTTTTTTTCTCATATATAGGTGAACACATATATTTATCTTTGAACAGAGTATCAAGCAATGCACATATCACGCGAATAGTTTAACAAGTTAGCTATGGTAAGTATGTATGTTAAAACATATGGTATTAGTATCAATAGGCATTACAGTGTGCATACTCAGAGTGTGGCTACTTAAGCGATGATATAGTAGTTTATTTCTATGCTGTAAAATCTACCACGTCGAATAGTACTGAGGATCAGTTCTATGCTTGGGTGGTGACATCCGCTGCTTCCGGTGTTAGCCCATAGGAATTGAGTATCTACCATCCCTACCATCGCAGTTTATTCAGCTATATATCTATCGTGATCGTATCTTGTCTATGCCTACTGTACGCTTTATACTGGACTATACCACAGATGTGACTTTATGAGTGATCTTAATAAGAGATGTTATCATGCTTAAAAAGTTTGTGACATGCTAGGTTACGTTAGGTTACTGCAGGCACCCAGACCACTTCTGCCCACTACCCTTAACCCTGCAACTGTAAATATTGCAGTTTTCATAAACTGCAATATTTACCTTGCAGGGTTAACTCCTCCTCTAGTGGCTGTCTACTAGAGGGCACTTACGGGATTATAGCACAGATTTTCTGTGCTATAGTGTCGCTGGATGTCCTCACGCTATGTGAGGACCTCCAGCGTCGCTAAATTTCCCATAGGAAAGCATTGAAAGCATTTTCAATGCTTTCCTATGGGGAGGTCTAATGCGCGTGCAGGGCATTGCCACTCATGCGCATTAGGCCATCCCCATCGCTGGCTGCGCATGCGCAATAGGTCTCCCCCGCCGAATGACGTCGGCGAGGGAGGAGCGTGTGCGGACCCTGAACCAGCGCCGAGGGACATTGGTGCTGGATACAGGTAAGCCACTGAAGGGGTTTTAACCCCTTCAGCAACCTGGGGTGGGGGGTGGGAGGGAGAGGGGACCTGCAGTGCCAGGAAAACAGTTTGTTTTCCTGGCACTGGAGAGTCCCTTTAAACTCGATTAAAGTACTGCATAGCATGCTAATCCTAATATGTAACGGATCACCTGGCACCCCGACTGGGTACCTCCGTTGAAGTATGCTCCTAGCGCTTCCTGAGGGCTCCAAGCACTGCAGCAGACACCACAACCACCAAACTGGAGAAGCATACGAATGCTCTCAAGCATATGAATGCTGTAAGCAGCTGAACAGGAAACGCATACAATCAGCTTACACTGCTGGCAATCAGCATACAATCCAATTCCCCCAACAACGAGACAACACTTCGTTTTGAGGTCAAGCAGAACTGACTGTACTGGCACATACAGCCTCTTTTATTCACAATCCACAAACATAGTACTGCCCACAGGGTTTTGAAACACAACCAATCAATCCGTACAATACACACAGACACTCCCACACAAAATCCACCTCTCTGCCTGTGATATGATTACTGAACACAATGGGTAATATAATTATCACAGGCAGGGAAATACAGTTTTTACAAAATATTAATAACTTCCAAAATATACATGCCATTCACATGAAACATACATTTTCAGAATCAGCATGCTTGAAATATACACATACTCAAAAATCAGGACAATCGGTTCAGGGGTTAAAAAGTTAAGGGAAAGTCCTATTTGACCAAATGAAGCATGGTTTTTCTGCCCAAAACCAGTTCCACAGAGTCTTCTATCCTGGAGATAATTGGGAAGTAATCCAATTATCTCCAAGGACAGAGGCAAAACTCCATTAGCACATGGTAGCAAAATATATAAAAAATATATAACTCTGCAGCTATTGCATAAAACGGGTACATTCAACATATCCCCAGATAGCTTAGATCTGAGCGCAAATTATTACTGAATGGCGCTCAGATCACATACATATAGTTCAATTGCCATGGAGCCAAAGTCTTTCACATAGTCTTTCGTTATATGAATGGGCTCCATGGCATAGCTATCTGGGGTAACACTGCTCACATAGGGAAAGTACCGAATGACCCGGCTTTTGGGTCTTTGCAGGGGAAAATCCAGCATTTCAACATAGGGCCATTGTCACAGGGCAGGAGGCTGGCAATCAGTCTTCTCCAATGCCCAGTGGCGAGAATGGTTCCGCCACATAGTACATATGCTTTCAATAAGATAAAAATAAGGCATATAAAAAACAGGCTAGTCTAACAACTTAAATGCTGCTGTCGACCTGGAATTGAGGTTTCTGGCTCCCCCTGGTTTGCATGTAATTATAAGAGTAGGAAGAGGTTTAGATGAGCAATTGTAGACAAAGGAGCTACTTAAAACTTAACAGGTTTGCCTTCTGGGCCTCTCACTGGTACACTTGCACGGGCCGCGGGCCTGTTATATGTTGGGGTTGAGGCGTCAGCCTACCCCCACTATCGGCAGGCCTACTGTAGATATACGGTAGTCCATAGGGGGTTGCGGCTTGGTACAGTCGGGTCCAGGTGTCCACCCGTCTTCTGGCTTGTGTATAGGTCGGTGGTTCTGCCTTGTGTGTTCGAGCATAGGAAGTTCAGTCTGTATAGCCCCTAGATGCTGTCGCTGGTGCAGATGGCTAGCAGATCTCCGCTGAAGCAATAGCTGGAGCACAGCTCTCCGCATCTGCCTATGTTGGAGCGTGATCTCCCACTGCTGCTGAATTTGAAGCGTGGCTCTGTGTCATTTCAGCTTGCGAGGTGCAACCCTCTTCCCTCTTGGTAATTGGGAAGGGGTCGAGCCCCTTTTGTTCTGTGGCTTGGGTTTGTTTGTTAGGAGAGAGGCAGGATGCTGTTGAGGCCTGTTCGCCTTAGGCAGTCTGCCAGAGAGTGGCTCTTGTCCTCGTGCTTGATCGTTAGGGTGCAGCGAGGCTGTCGCCATGTGCCTCTCCAGTCGGGCCCAGAAATCCTGGAATATTGCCGCCAGTCTGGGGGCTCCCCATGCGGCCACTTTCTGCGGCACAGGTTGGGATCAGGCTCTGCTCCGTCATGTAAGGCCTTCCCGCCATTTTAGCAGGCATGGGTATGTGCTCTTTCGTTACAGGTGCTGTCCTTAATGGCATCAGGACTGAGTGGATCGGCTCGGCAGGGCCCGGGATAACCGGGAGAAATGTTTTTGTGTCCGTGCTCATGGCTAGTCATACAATCATCGGAGACGACTCTCCTTTGGATTGAGAGCTGTTTATATATTCTTTGAACAAGGGTGCATATGATCTTTCTGTGTTTGTTATGGTCCATTATCAAAAACACATTTTTATCAAATCTGCTTCTATATAGCTTCATGTGTCTGATTCTCTTTTTATTATGACTCTACTTTTCCTCATGTATAGCAGTCACGTTGACAAAAGTTGACAATGGGCAAAGCTTAAAGCAAGGTTCTATTTCAATCAATTCCAGAGCAGGGCATATAGTAGAAATCATGGATAGAGCAGAAGAAAATGGCTGTATCCAGATATTAAGATCCAAAGTAAGGAAGAAAAGATAATGAATAAAGGCAAGTAAGAGAGTATAACCATTACGATACAGGGGGTATAAGAAGAGGAATCCAAACTGCCCCACCCCCCACCCCCCAAAAAAAACAGGGCTGCTTTTAGTTAACACCATCACAAATGTGGTACTTTGCTTTACACTGCTTATTGTTTACTCCTCAAATGCCAAATGTAGAAACATTTACCCATTTTACAATTTAGTTACCTTAAAAAAAACAATTAAAGGAACACACTGGGCACCATTTAAATTTCGACTCAGTGATGTTTTTATGGTGCCTGGAGGTCCGGGGTACTTTCTTACGTTAATTGGTTAAACCGTTTATGAATGGTTTACCCCCAAAGTACACCAGACAACGCATGTCCTCTACCTCACTGTGTCTCCTGCCCCAGGGTCAATCCTGAAGCCTTGCACCTGGCGTCCATGATAGGCTGAGAGTATCAGCTGAAGCTCTTAGCCTATCAATGCCCTCCCATTGAGCATAATGTATTACAAGGGAATGTTCCTAGGTGTGAGCCCAGTCCAAGGCTTCTGCATTAAAGTAGGGGTCAGAGGAGAAGACACAGATACCTGAAGGACCCCCAGCCGCCATAACAACTTTATTGAGATGAAGTTGTTATAGTGCCTGGAGTGTTTCTTTAAGGTATGAAGTGAGGGTAACACCAAGGATTGCCTTCTCCTTCGTCTGGATTCTTTGGGTCTCTAGGATGAAACAAAATCACATTTAGGACACAGTTAACCCATGTGTTTTTGATTACTTTTATGTTATGTGTGAAATCATGTAATATATTAATTGGACATGAGCAATGTCTTTGTTCTATCCCACAATAGCAAGTTCCAGGGAGGGGTTAGGGTTTTTTAAAGGATGTTTAATTGTTAAAATGAGGCTCCATCATTTTTATTGTATTTCAAGATACTTAATACTGTCATATAAAGATCTAGGGATTTTCCAACGGTCTAAAAACCCTCAGTAAAAAACGTTTGCAAATAATATGTTTATGGTAAGAAGCAGACTAGTGATAAAGGTAAGCCATCTCTTCTCCAATTTCTATATGCCATTATGATACGACATGCAGTTGAATGGTGTAAATTTAAATGAACCTGATGTTTAATGGGATTTCCACGTTATTTGTACAGTAAAACATTTCAAACATCATGAACATTTTTCACGTACTATAAAGATATGTAAACCAAAACGTACATGGTGCAATATATTTACATTACACAATGATGCAGGTGATTAGGGTCAAGATCGTAAGATAAGATAAAATAAAACTGGCCAAATGAAGGCTTTGTTTGGATTTGATACCAAGGAATCTACTGTTTTTGCTGTAATTCCTTTTCTGTTATCTGTATGTTAGATCGAAGATGCAGCTATAGTAATAATCATTATTTGGATAAATACTTTGTTGTCACAAAGGATTATAACACAAATTAAAGCGTTATTCATTAAGGTGTGACTAGTCGGGAGTCCAAAGTAAATTTTGAAATTCAAAATGGCCAAATTGAAAACTTGAAATTCAGCATTTGAAATTAATTAACCGATTCTTCAAAGTTCTAACTAGATGATTTATATACAAATTATATATATATATATATATATATATATATATATATATATATGTCTTAAAATATACAATTTGTTTTGCAGATTTACAAAATACTGAATGTTACCCTTTAGAAAGGAGTGCTTGGAAGATACATTTCATGTAGGTGGAATGTGGAAAATTAGGAACTTTTTCATTTTTATTTTTATGTAAAGTAAAAAATCAACAGTTGTTTATTGGGAGAGCAAGTAAAATACAGGGTACAAAATGATTCTCTGTCTGTATGTCTCTAATTATCTAAAATAAATAACAGCAATTAATATTAATAACAGTATAACATCCAAGCCCAATGTCTTATATGATAGAGATCACATACTCACTTTCTAATATACCTACAGGTAAGTTTTAAGCATCCTATTAAGTTGTATCTGTTTTGTTTAAGAATTGGTTTCTACTGCCTCCTCACTTAAAGTAAAATAGTCACATCTCTGAAATTGTGCAAACAAAATGAGAAATCTCACATGACAGTTCCATTTTAATAATGAACAACAAAGTTTTAAGCCCTGTGTGAGACTGACACGTTATATCCAGTTCCATTTTATATATTTGTTTAGTCATGTATATACTGCACACCTGTCTATCTATCTTTGGTACAAGATTAATTGCTCTTCACACCTTCATCTTCATACTCCTCCAACTCTAAATTGCATTTTAAAGCAGGACCTCTTGTATCTTGTTATTTCCTATTTCCTGGTAATGCAAACATACATGCATTCCTAAACTTCCTACAAACATACAAAAATCGGAACTGGTTACTAACATTTTTGAATCCCACTACTGGAGCTATCCCTAAACTTCCTACACCAGGTGTAGGAAGTTTAGGGATAGCTCCAGTAGTGGGATTCAAAAATGTTAGTAACCAGTTCCGATTTTTCATGTTTCCAACTCCACAGGGTCAGCCCAAGACATTGCCCACAACAAGTCTTGTGCGCGCACACATGCACATCGACGTAGTCACACAGTGTAAGAGGCGGTGACAGTGGGGGTGGTGATAGTGGTGGTGATGGTAGCATGCGGGGATGGTGACAGTGGGGGGGTTGTGTGTGTGAATAGTGGCAGTATGGGGGGGTGGTGACAGTGTGGGGAGTTATACTGTGAGGGGATGGTGACAGTGTGTGTGGGAGGGTGACAGTCAGGAGATGGTGACAGTGTGTGGGGTGATAATATGGGAGGGGGGTAGTATGTGTGGGTGATAGTGTGTGGGATGGTGATAGCGTGCGGGTGACAGTATGGGCGATGGTGACAGTGTGTGTGGGAGGTAGTGACAATGTGGGGTGGTGACAGTGTGGGAGGTAGTGACAGTAGGGCGGATGGTGACATTGGGGGGGATGGTGACAGTGTGTGTGGGAGGGTGTCAGTGTGTGTGGGAGGGTGTCAGTGTGGGAAGTGGTGAGAGTGGGAGGGGGATGGTGACAGTGGAGAGAAGGTGACAGTGTGGGAGGTGGTGACAGTGTAGGAAGTGGTGACAGTGGGGGGCAGTGGTGACAGTGTAGGAAGTGGTGACAGTG